ATAATAGGGACTGTATAGACTGGTGGCAAGATGGAGAAACTACACATAGTGTAGGTGCTGGATTAGTTTATGTATTGACTAAAGAGGTTGGATAGCTTTATATAAGAATAAATGAGTGGATGAGTTATTTAAATTGAGTTTGTGAATGAAATGTACAATTAGATGCAATACAAGGGAAATGGCCAGGTAATCTGATAAGTGGCTATACTATTTCATATATTAATTTGGGCTATGGAACATTTACAAGTATAATGGATGAATTAATAGTGGATGTTTAAATTTTCTTTATATATTATACAGTTGGCAAGATAAATGGATTATTAGTTAAACTGGCTTGCAAGTTAATTGGGATTTTTGAATGAATGGTTTGTCACAGGGCAGAGAGAGATGAATGATTAGCTTGTTAAATTTGTTTCTAAATAAAGAAAAGCAGATAAGTTGTACAATGAACTTGTTTTCAACAGAGCAGTATCCTTTTTTTAAAGCTTCAATAAGCTTATCAATGTATAACTGTGAAATATCCCCACAATTCAGCCAAGTTGTTCCATTGCCATTTGAACTTCTCAGTTTCCATATAAACTCTTAATAATACTTGTATCAGAACTTTGTGAAGGCTAAGTTATGTTTGTGAGTGTTCTATTACCCCCTTTTTCCACCAGATACCATTTTGTATTTTCTGCATGCTTGAAGTCACTGTATTGCTTGGAAATGAATTCCTGTCCATCAGGTATTGTTCCTGAGGGAATGACATGATGGATAAGAATCTGACTGTAACTAGTAATTGTGGATGTACAACACCCACCTCATGATCCCCACACTGTCAATTTTACACCTCTGGAAGTTTGCATGATGGTCTGGCTGGATGATGAAATCCTTCCCATAGAGGTAGTTCTGGAATTTCCAGATGGATAATATGATGGTTAGATACCCTCTTTCAATCATAGAGTAATTCTTTTCACTCTTCAACAGCTTTTTCTGCTGATGTATATTAGGGAAACAGTCCATCTTCATGCTCTTGCAGAAGTACTGCTCCAATTCCAACATCTGATGTATCGGCCTGAACAATAAATGGTTTGTTGATGTCTAGTATTCAAAGGATTGGTGAACTTTCTAACATGTTCTTCAACTTCAGTTGTCCTTGTCAGATACAAGTGCTAGTGATCTGATCAATCCCACAGCTACTTTGCTGAATGGCTCATTTATGAGAGGCATCTCACCCAGTAGCACCTTGGCTACCTTCCCTCTAGGTATTGTCATTTGGCAAATGTCACATGACCTGCAGAATCTGGTCACATCTCCAATGACCCCTGAACAATGGAAGTTGCTGGTGATTCTGTCTGCTATCTAGATTCTCCTAGGCGTTCTACCAAAATTGAATCATGAGCCAACTCATTATTCTTTGTTGCTATGAACTTTTTAACTTCCCCAGTAGAACTGCCTTGATGGACCCGGATTCATCACTCCATTCTGATGCTCTATTCTGTAAGACCTTTTCCCCTTTGTCTTGTGCTCTACTTTCTCCAAGGCACTGTCCTAAAGTTTTTGCAGTGAAGGGTCTTTCTTCTGTGCTTCATTCAGTTCTCACAGATCTACATTTGGAATGTCACCTTTTCAAACTTGTAGGGGCTTGATATTTTGTGGTGACTGCAGATACATCATCATTCTTCTTTCTGTCTGGTTCCTCCATGCTTATACTGCCTAGTATATTGCTAATCAGCAAGTCGTAGATGGGTGCCTTCATAAACATGGTCTCAAGATATCTCATGTAGTATGGAGTGTCCACCTTTATTCTTGCTGTGGGAAACTTTCTCACTGTTCCATCAATCAGCACACACAGATGTACCTTGTCTGTCATCTGGTCATCCAATACTAGACTGGTTCTCATTACCACATCCAGTGTCTCATAAGATTTTCACTTTCTTTTCACCAAGATAGCATTCACTTACTGTTTTGCTGTGATTGGTTGGCACATCTCAATGTTTGTCACATGCTCTAATCACCACTGGCACTGTTGACCCGTTTGCTACCTTTAGCTGACCATCAATAATGCACTGTTTAATCATGGTAATAGCACTTTCTTCTTGTGGTGACTCTATCGAATTGTCTTCATTCTGTTTCTTCTGGTAGCAGTTGCCTGCACCATCTTTGTAGGTAGCTCTAGATGCTTTATGTTGATATTTCTGCTGTTGCTTTTGGTGACAGACTTGCACTCACTTGCAATGTGCCTCATTTTATAATAAGCACAGCATTTCTTCTCCCTTTGTCTGTTGACTTCTTGTTACCTTTGGTGGCATCCAGCTTCTGGTCAGCCACCCCTGGTTTCGACTGTGACCGGGTATTCTTGGACTTGCCAGTTATACTCCCTCTATATACTGTTCTGCCAGCTTGATTATCTCATCTATGTAATTCAGTGTTCTCTCCTTTAGGAAAAGTGACATGTCATTGGAGCATGTGATCATGAAGTAAACACATATTAGTCGATCTGCCAGTCCTTCAAAACTATCTTCAGAATTAGCCATGTCAGACCACCTTGTGAAGTATCACCATAGTTGTGCCACAAACTGAAATGCAGTTTCTCCAGTGACAGGTTTGACTTCTCTGACCTTCCGGGGAAAATCTTCCTTGATATGTTCATAACATTTTAGCATGGCCGCTTTAAACTTGTCATTCTATGGCATCTTTTGGTGTCATGTGCACATACACTTGTAAGCCTTTTCCCATGAGAAGGGAGCTGAGGCAGGCTGCCCAGTTCTGACTTTGGTCAAATCTTTCATTCCTCTTCAGGAAAGTATCCCTGTAGTCTTTCTGTTAATCAAATTTGGGCAGCTTGGGTAGGCTGGCCCTGACCCCATAGTCATTCTTGGGTCCTCTGTCTTTCTGTTGGGTGAGCTTGGCAATCTCAATTTGTGCTGTTATTCTCTCTGTTTCCAGTCTCTCCTCTCTCTCCTTTTCATCTTTCAGTCTTTCTTCCTCTCTTCACTGCCTATGCTCTTCTCTCTAGATCTTGTTGTTGTTGTTTAACAAACTCTCATAGAGCTCCATCTTTAAGCCCAATACACTCACCTCTTTCTAGTCACTTATCAAAGTGTGATTGTGACCTATACAATATTTTTGCCACCACTACAGCTTTTTATATATAAACCTATTTGCCAGTTACTTACAACTCTTCTCCCACTATTTGTCCCTGCAGATGCTGGCTGGCTCACCAATGTGAGGTTTCTATGTTTGTGTGGGCCAGATTCTTTACAGTGGGTGTCTGTGACTTGTTGATGATAAATCTCAACAACAAACAAACATCACATAGTCCACTAGTTTTAAACTAATATATTAAAACAAGTCAAACTTATATACAAATGTTCATTACACTGTTAATTACCACAGTTGTATCCAGAGCTTTAAATAATTGTCTCTTTTTATCAAAAGTCCACACAGGTTTGTTCAATAACTTTAGAACACAACTAACAAGAGAACTTATTCTTCTCTACTTTGTTGTTACAATACAATCTGTGATAATTTCACTTTAAAAATAGGTACCACTATAAGATCTTTATGGCTAAACTTACAAACACACAGTCTATATCTATTTGACTTGATCTCTCACTAACTTTGTCTCTTTGTCTTGAACTACATTTTGGATACATATTTATAAATAGACCATCTGAGGCCAAGAACATTCCACATACTTTGAGATATTATGATGTAATAATACCTTAGAAAAACTTAGAAGGTTACAGTAACATGACAATAATACAAGTGCCAATTCACAACAATTGAACTACATAACATGTTTCGTACACAGTTATGTAAACACACCTGCGATAAACTATCACTTCAAAAAATAACTAAATTTAATACTTGTGCTATACTTAAATTAAAACCTCGTGTATACCTTACATTGAATTTAGTGCTTGTAGTTCAGTTCTGTATGTGTATGTAATATACAATGTACACAGTTCATGCTTTACATACAGAATACAGGTATCTATTTGAAAAATAATGTCATTACTCGTTACATTTTTAAAGAAGTAAAGTTCTGAGTAATGACACTACTATTTTTAGCACGTAACAGCCAAAGTAATATCATTATTACTTTTTTCTAGTACCATGTCCGACACTGTACGTGTCCCAGGCAACAGTATGAAGCATAATAGAGGATCCCCACCTGGAAACGAGGAAACAGGGGATGGGTTCACCAAGATAAGGCTTCTAGTCATATCTCCTATTTAACTGTCACATACCTAAAAAAGCTACAGAATAAAACAGGTATTTGTGCTATTCCATAGGATGATATACTGTTCAAGTTGCCAAAGCAGCACTTATGAATTTCTGTGCGACCAGGTTTTTGAAATAGGTATTATGAAGTAATTCTAGTTGTATACTAGATGTATTACAAAAAGTATGCAGGACAGAGTGGTACGCTTTGGACATGAAAACTTTATGTCAAAGCCTCTTATAATGGAATCTTTGGTGCAAGATTATTTTCAAGATGCATGGTCATCTGATAGAGCATGACTGTACATGGCAACATGAACTGTAAGGATGTGTGGAAAATCATTTTAATATAACTTCTTATTAAACATCTGTAATTACTGAAGTATCTGTCTGCTGTGTTAGTTTCTTCAAAGATTTAGGATATATTCCATCAGAAACAAGAGCTTTAACCTCTCATATTTTTCTAAATTTATTAAAAACAGTAATCTCCTCTGTTTGAATAATGGTAAGAGTTTGTTCTTCTTCAAAATCAATTCCAAAAATTTTTAGTGTTTATTTTATTTTACAGAAATAAAAAAATCTCAAAATTGCAAGAAAAAAACAGCGCTGTAGGTAAGTCTCAAACTGGTCATGTTAAAAATGAATGTTTTATCAAAAAATGTTAGGAATGGAACTAGTTTGATCATATGTGTAGGCTAACTGTGTGAATAAAGGCATATGCATGTAAAAACTTTACCATTCACCGAACAGCTAAATTCTTAATTAGATTGTAATCCAAAACAACTTACCATTCTTGCTAACATCCAATTCTACCAAGTTGACCAAATTAGCAATGTCTGGAGGAAAACGACAAATTTCATTGTCACTTAAAGACAGTTTTCTTAATCGTACTAGTCTAAAGAGACCCTAGAAAGCAACAAATAAAAGCTGTTAAATATTTATGCAAATAATGAGAAGTGTCTGTATAAGAAAAAAAACTATATTGACTGCTTGGAACAGATGATTTTCAGGCTAACATAACCAACATTATCACATACCTATTAAATATCATATAGTAAAATTTACACACTGATTTCATTAAAGCACATATAAAATGTCTTGATAAACGACTGAAATTAATGTACCTATAAAAAGTTGTGTACCCACTACCTAACAATATTTTGTGCAAACAAAGTTCATAAAGAACAAACCTATCAAACAGATTAGAAAGTTGTGACACATTATATGTACACGTACACATCTTCCATATATATATATATAAAATTAATGTAGTTGCAAATTCTTACATGGCATAATTTGTTTGAAAAAATATTTTGCTAATCAAATCTTTTGTACATAATGAGTATGAACAACATTCTTTGCAATGTAAAAAGTACTCACAGATGTTTTATTAAACAATACAATTTCCAGCATATGTTATAAACTTACTGGCTTACAAATACTTTTTTTTTTACAATACATTTGTATATTATACTTTACCTGTTGACCAGTGTCCTCTACAATCTGGAGATGATTGTTGATACATTATTTACAAAAGATTCAAATATAAAACAGTAACTACATGTACTGTAATCAACTTTGTTGTGTATGTTCAAACATATATACATATACTGTATAAATTTAACAAAGAATAATTACTCCACTGCAAGGATAGCAGCACTAGTTAAATATATATACATGTATATACAAATACTCTAAATGTACATTTACTAAAAGGTGTGAATTTCAACGAATCTGTTGAGATTATGTTGGTAGTAAAACTATAACTTTTTTTAATTATTGCAATTTCATAAAAATTGTTAGATGCTTGTATTTTTATGAAAACTAACACAAATGCAGTTATTAGTTACTTTATGAAATAAAACATGGAAAGTTTTATTCAGTGTTATGATAATGTCTACAAAACTATCAATAGAATATTGATTGTTGAATTCATATTATTTAACCTTATATGAATTTAGTACTTAAATAAATTACATGTATGGAATGACCCACATACACCCACACCTAACCTGATACCATCTATTGCCCCTGAAAAGCTTATAGAAAATACAAAGCCTTGTGTCAAAAAATTATTATAACACCTCAATTGTACTTGTGCTTCTTAAAAAGAACAACTATCTCCAAAGTAAGTTTTATGAATATTTATAACTTTCTGAAATTTGTAAAATATGTGCTCAAACTTCAACAGTCATATTTTGTTTTTAGCTGTAGTACCTGTCACCTGGACGGAAGTTATGTAAATTCACGATTAATGAAAAGTTATCTTGGGACATGACAAGTTGCTTCCCTTATAGTACATAATTGTAAAAAATGCAAAAACTCCCATACAAACTGCAAAACACAAAATGTGAAACAAACCTTTCTGCCAAATTTGGTGAAGATCCATTAACAGGGGGAAAAGTAGTGGTAAAAAATGCAAAAACACCCATAAAAATTGCAAAACCCAAAATTGAAAATTTGTGTGTATCTCCCCACGGAGCCAATGAACCTTCATACCAAATTTGGTGAAGATCCATCTACAGGAAACAAAGTAGTGGTAAAAAAATGCCCAATGCAAAACACAAAACTGAAAATTTGTATGTACCCAGCATGGACCTAACGAATCTCCATATCAATTTTGGTGAAGATCCATCAACACCCTGTGAAGTAGTTACATGGACAGACAACAGACAGTACTATAATACTTATAAATATTTGTCATAATATATATTTATGGAAACTACATACATGTTAGAAAGTTATACAAGGATTTTACACACTTACACTACTCTGCAAATGCAGATTTGTGTTAAATGTATGTATCATAGTCTAAACTATTTCTTAGCCAATAGAATTATTTTTACAAATGAGGTTTTCTTTTCTAAATTCTATTAAATCATAAATTTTTCATGTAGGTACTTGTATGTAACCATATTCATTAATTTTAAATTTCTCTATTATCACTTGTTTGGTATCCATAACAACCTAGGTTCTATCTAAAATGTAACCTGGATTAGACTATAGTGTTTTTATAGGCATAAATAAACTTATACACTTTATAGCATCCTTTTCACTTAAGCTTATGTTTCACTATACAAGTACATCATGTTTGATAATACTGTATTTTAAGAGTAAGTAAAATAAGTTGAACTCCAGAGAGGAGAGACCCAAGCACTGATTTTGTTATCAAAATATTTTGTACTCAGATATATTACTGATAAGGATTTGTTGTTTATATCAATATTAGGTTATCATAAAGTATGTGTAGAAAATAACTTTCCTACAGACCAGCTGTACATACCTTGAACTGGTTTGTGACCATACACATGTATAAAGTACTAATATACATGTCGGTTATAATTTCAAATAACTATTCTTAATGTTTCTGAGAACTTCTGTGTATTTTTTTTACCAGTACTTTTGTTGAAAAAGATACACATATCGATTCTATAAACGATTAAAAACCATGTAAATTGACAGCACAGATTTCATGAGAAGTGTAAATTTCAATATAATACTTCATGTAAGATTACAATCTATTAAACACTTCCATACTGTCTACAAATAGTTAGTTAGCAGCTGGAAATATTCTTAAACAAATCTTTTCATGTCTTTCTACAAATGTTAAAATTCTAACACATACTGAATTAATTTTAATTTTGTGAAGATACCCCAAAACAAAATTTATGGCCTATAACATACTTTGAAATGCATATTCAAAAATATTTACATATTATCTAAATACACATGTAATTGGCTTCTGATTCAAAGCTTTACAAATATAATTGTGCATTATCAGTCTTGTTAATCTGTGTTAAAGTGCCTGTCATATGATCTTTTTTTATTTTTTAATCCTATTTTTAACTATTCTTATGTACTGGAATGCTCCTGTTAATTGTTCAATATTTTTTGACACCAATATAACTAAACTATACATAAAGCAGCAAAATCACCTTAACACATAAATTCAAAAATCACTGAACAGATATTTCTCTACATTGTTTGTATTGGAACTTATAATATAGTTTAAATTGGTGATCACAAAAGTTTTGAGCTAAATTTCCAAACTTCTCCAAAAATGGAAAACAAAAAATAAAGATAATAATTAATCTTACTTTACTATGTACTTACTTTTACACTATAGATAAATACATGTTGCAGTTTTTTAATTTTGTGCAATTATAAATATTTTGCTCAAATATTTTTCTACAAATTCATGAAATTTTTAAAAAGATATAAAGATAGTGTTTAAATATTGATCACTAGTATAAAGTAGCTAGACAGTTAACAGTGAATGAGTGATATCCCCTGACTGCCAGTGAGTATTGGATAGTTAATAATATCCTTTAGTCATCACTACAAAGCCAATTCAGACACACTGTTATTTATACATATGGATAGCTCATACACAATCCTTAAGCTGCCAGAAAACCAAAATAGAAAGCTGGCAAGTGTCTTCTAGCTGTCAGAAGGTTAAGATAGAATAACAGAGTTTCATAAACTTGAACAACAAACAGTGGAATCCTCCAGCTATCAGAAAGCCAAGATAACAAGAAGATAAATACATCTGGATAACTAATACATGCATCTTCTAGCTACATAAAAATTAAGATAATAACAGTGGGTTTAATACATCTGTACAGCTAACACTAACATCCTCTAGCTGCCAGAGAGACTTAGTAGAAACTCTATTTCATACATGTGCATCCAAAGTTATCAATCTCCCAGAACAAAACCAAGTAATTTCCAGGAAGGTTAACCAATATAGCTGAAGAAAAATAACACACACATACTTAGTAATATTTCTGAGTTGTTATTGGTTAAATATTAATATAAATAGCAATGAAAAGCCAACATTCTGATGGGTTTAGTTCTAAATATAGCAAGGGTATATTTTTAAATACATGTTTTTATTCTTCTTCTTTTTCATTCCATTGTATATTTTCTTGTGTTCTACATATTGGTACTGTGTTGATATGCTCTTCTATTTAGATCTACTAACTGAGCACACCTGCTAAAAAAGCAAAAATTGTATAAATGACAATTTTAAATAATATTCCCCTTCCTTCTCTCTCTTGTTATTAAATCCCTAATGATCTCATTAGAAGCTAATTGCATATGCTACTTTGTGGAAGGTAGTAAGTGACTAATTTAACTGATTAAGTACTTGTATCTTTAAATTCAAAACCAAAAGTTTATACAAAAATGGAATTGTGGCCTATTTCTGAGTGTTATTTATCCCTTCTCAGACAAAAATCCTAAAAGAAAATAGCCCATGTACACCATCAGACAGTTTCTGGTTACTATACAAAAAATAATGATAATCAATCCAGCCAAGTTTAGGTGATGAAAGCCAAAAGTGTATAAAAATGGAAGTGTTCCCTATTCCAGGGTCATTTTTATTCCTCCTTCTGCAGCAAAAATGCTAAAACAAAATAGCCCATATACATTTCGGACAGTTTCCAGTTACTGGACCAAAAATTACAGTAATAAAGCACACTAACTCTGGGTAATGGTTGTTAACACACAAAAATAAATAATGGAACATCTTTAGAGTAAGATTTATTATAAAAAGCTATTCTGAGTTGTAAAGCCTGTGTTTTCCTTACTCTTGTAATTATAATATCCAATATCAAAATATACATATGCATTTAGCACTTTAGGTGAAAAAAGAAACAGGTATTTATGCATATCCTATCAAGCACTTTTACACTGTATATGAGTAGGGCTGATGAGAATGGGGAGGGAGCAGCTGCCCCTGGGCCTGTTGAGGGGCCTGGCAGTGGGATATTTCAAAGCTCACTAGAAGTGCGCACTACTTAATGAGCTAAAATGGCTACTACTTTTCATGGATTCATGAATAAATTTGTCACCTAAAGTTCTTTTGTGAAAAAATCAGCAAAAGTTAATAAATAGAATGATAGGAGGGTTCCAATGATATTACTGACCCCAGGGTCTGGGCTGGCTCTCAATGCCCCTGTGTATGAGCAAATATACATGTCATAGGTATTAATTTTTTATATGAAGGTTAAGTTAATAAAATATAAATATTGAACTACATACACAAAGATATGTCCCTACTACTGTATCTCTAATAGGGTTTCATAAAAAATATATCATGTATAAAACATTACAGCAACAATTCATTTGGTTTATTGTATATATGTAATTCAAAAATAATGAATTTTTTCTTATCTTTATTCCTCAATAATTAGCGAACTTATGGACACAACTACAGTTTAGAAGTTAAGAGAAATATCCAGCTTAAATTAATTATGTTACAAGATATCAATACATTTTTAAAGTTCAATACCATTTATCAATAGATTGCAATATATTATTTATGGTGTTGAACTTGAAGGTATATATATATATATATATATATATAATAATAAAAGAAACTTACTAATACTATATATGCATGTTCAATTTATTTATTACTGAACATTGAATTTATTATACATAAATGCATATTTTAATAAATACAAATATACTAAAAATCTAAAAGCCTACTAAGAAATATTCTATATTTGTGCGGTCACAATTATATACATATATTATACAACACTCTTGCAGTTGCAACAGTCGTATATTTGTGCGTTAAGTAAAAACTTAAAAAAAACACTACAATTGCAATTCATATTTTCTTACACCTCAATAACTTTAAAGTGTAAGAATTGAACACTGTATTGTTTTGCATTTAAATTCAATCGAACATAACTCTTATCTTAACTAAGTTGCACGCTTAAGGTTTATTCACAACTTTTATTTTTACTTGTTAGACAAGTTTTAGAAAGAAAAGAAAAAAGCCTAATTTTGCAATTAAATTCCATCGCACATAACTTATATCTTAACTAAGTTACACACTTACATTTTAGTGTATGGGGTTTTATTTCTACTTGTTAGACAAGTTTTATAAAAAGAAAAAGAAGCCCAACTTGTCATGGCTATGATTATGAATATGAACAACTCAACTAGAAACACCTTTACAAATTACAGTCTTACGACTTCGTAGGTTACGTACCCTGGGCAAATCTTTTAAATGATTGGCATCCAACTCTAGTTCCTCTAACGTCCGAGCATAACGTAAAACATCGTCGGGAACACTTATTAAATTGCAATGCCTTTTGTCTATAAATTCGACTTGTCGGTTACAACCACCAAATATCGGAATGCACCGAAACATGATTCTTACTCTAATTTCTAAAGTTATCGTAAATTTCTAAACTATCACAGACTTAATTTCCAATGCACAAGATGAACAAATAATGTGCACAGCTGTCAACATTCTCAATTAATTTAACTCTCTTTAAATGTTGCTTTCTGTGAGGATGCCGGTATATAATATTTACACCAAGCTTATTACACCACAAGTAACATCGAACTGCCTCTTAAAGAATTCGCACCATCTCTTTTAAACTTCAAGTTTGACATTACAAAGCTGGTTGTTTAAAGTCTGATAACGCCACTATACTGACAGTACATTTGTACGTTGGTGCCATCTTTTGAGAAACCTGTGTACTGTAGTCTGTGTTCTGAATTTCGTGCAAAACATTCAAAATACGATAAAAGATTGAAGAAATAATAAAAAAAATTATGATTTCTATTATGTATTAGATTACTTTTAATTTTGTTATTCATTTAATTAGTGAATATATTTCCCCGAAATAGAAATTTTACGACAAAAATTTGTTCTAATTTTCTTAGTGGTAAATAAATGATGACATTTTCAGTATTTTTATTTTTGCACCAAAAGAAAACTAGAAAAAACAATAGCAACTGTAAAAATAAATCAAAAATCATATTTTCGAAAGAAAGCTTGTTTTTAGCACACTGACATATAGAAAATATAATTCATTTTCTTCCGAAATCGTTTGTGAAAACACATCGCAAAAGAATTGGTTATTAAAGTACGATTTTTGTAATCTGCGAGTATGATGTTGTGAATTTTATTGACAGCAAAACGTATTTTCTTTATTGGCAAAAATGTAATTACTATCGCACTATTTAGATGTATTGAAAAGAAATAAACAGAAGTCTTAAATAAATAATATATACTGAAATATGATTACATCATCTGTTCTTACAGGTATTGTTGAATAGGTCTTCTTTCGTTGGCGGATTCTTTTAAATTATCTGGTAAAAACAATTCGATATCTAGTCCAGACTACAACAAATTAGTTATTTCCTCCTTTAACGTTTCTATAAACTTGAATTATCGCAAATTGTTGTACGCCAACGTTGCAAATGACGTTCAAACCTCTCTAACAATCTGAGACTAATGTAAAATCAAACCAACTTAATGCTAGCAAGAAAATATATCAATGTTGATGTTGAAATATTTTGCAGGCAGTAAATTTTCATGGAAGTGAAAAAGTAACTTAAAGACTGGCGAAACATCTGAGAGAAAGAAAATACAGTGTTAGATGAGGTTTAATAGAACAATTTTATTCGATGTTTCTAATAGCACAGTTTTACCTGGTGTTTCTCATAAAGAGTAGTGCAAGACAATAGAGTAAATCTCCCTCATGACATGGATGCAGCCCCCCTCCCCACCGTTGCAGGCTGCCAAAAGTTTAACTACGTTTGTCTGCATTACCTTATAATAAAAGCTAGAGACCTGAGGGAAACCATCATAGCCCACCAATGTAATTGTAGGCCTGGGTTTTAAGAGATTCCCGACTCAGAACGGTGGGAATCTTAATATGTGCAATTTTTTTCGTTTTTGTATTATTATTTTAATTTGTTTTATTTTTGCAATTTGATGAAACTTCTGGATTTTAAGTTGTAAGTTGCTCTCAATAGTACATGTACACAATGCTATGCATTGATTGCAAGTGGCATAGTATATTTTACAATAAAGACTTAATGACTGTGTATATTACATGACATAAATTAATAGGTGTAAGTTAACAGTGTATTACTTTCATAATCTTAATTACTTTCATAATCTTACTTAATGACTGTGTACATTACATGACATAAATTAATAGGTGTAAGTTAACAGTGTATTACTTTCATAATCATGTTTTATCCATACATATTGAAACTATGATAATCCAACACTATTACTTATTACAGCAATTATCAACGAACGTCAACAATTCTTCTGACTGCAGTTCAATTACTCACTATCTACACACACATTATTGTCCCGTCACGTTGTCACCCTCTTTTATATACCAGACTACCCTATATCTAGTAAATGCTAGAGCATTCGCCAAGGTACAGGATAGTTCTAGAAACGTGGCATGACACTAGTCATGTGACTTCGCTGACGCAACACTGCCCCTCCTTAGTATTGTTCGTCCCGAACAATACCCACACACAATAAACCAATAACAATTAACAATAACTTTAGTAAATGTACAGAATTACAAT